CTCGGAGGATAAACATCCATTACACATTTAGAGAAGGTGAGATGGCTATGGGGGCACTAGACCACATCCAGTATGGCAAATATTCCTTCTTACTGACTGACCTGATTGGCCCAAGAAACCTTTTCAATACAGCAACCTATCAGTCAATGCGAGATGAAGGGTAATTGAAACCTGTGCCATATGATCTCTAATGGTAATATTTGAGTCTATATATCAGAAGGTAAGGCAGTTAAGATACTTTATGAGGTTTCAGCAAAAGATTTAGGGGCAAATAGGCCTTAAGAAATTTAAGTAACAACTGTGTGGCAACACACTCCTTTAAATGGCCAAAAGGTCAAGTTGTTTATAAGAAAATCACTTTCCGGGGACTCTTCCCCCTCCCTATATGGGAATCACTTCTGTGGGACCCTTTTCCCCCTCCCTACTTGGGAATCCATTCTGTGGGACTCTTCCCACTCCCTACGTGGGAGTCTGTACTTGTTCTTCAATAAATCTCCATCTTTGCTATAAAAAAGAAAAGAAAATCACTTTCCCATACATTCTAATCAGAGAGATATATCATGACCAGATTTAGTCTTATAAAAATTGTGGAAAAACATTTAAGTTGCAGATACAACAAAAATACTTGTTAGCTGAAATATTAGCCAAATTCAGTTAAAATGATCTTAAGTATATTATATATATTGGTATATAAGGGACCTCAACATGCCAACAAATATATCAAATAAAAAAGGAAATATCTCAGAGGATAAACATCCATTACACATTTAGTTAATAGTTTACACAGGCTCTTATGGGCTGAATCGCCCCTCTCCCCCACCAATTCATATGTTGAACCCTAACCCTCAGTATCTCAAAATGTAACTATATTTGGAGATAAGACCTTTAAAGGGGTGATTAAGTTAAAATGACACTATTAGGGTGGGCCCTTATCCAGTCTAACTGTTGTCCTTATAAAAAGAGGTGATTTAGACACACAAGAGACACCAGGGCTGTGGGGTGCAGAGAAAAGGCCATGTGAAGACACAGCAAGAAGGTGACCATCTGCAAGCTAGAGACTTGCTGAACCTCCCATACCTTGGGACTTCTGGTCTCCAGAAGTGTGTTAAAATAAATTTGTTGTTTAAGCCACTAGTCTGTTATTTTGTTATGGCAGCCCTAGCAAACTAAACTAATGGGTGACCTAAATCTCACAGCTTACAGAACTGCAAGAGAATCGATAAACGCTTGGTGTCATGGGTTCCCATACACTCTATGCCCGGCATCCTTAAATTGGAGCTTTGGCAGCATTGAAGCTATCTCTTAGAACCAAGTTCAAACTTTCCCATTCCCTGGCATTTGAAAACAGGGTATGAGGAGAACTTTTGATGTGGAAAACAAAACATGAAAAATTTCAAACATATCGGAAGTAGAAAACAGTACAATAAACTTCCATATACCCTACACCCAGATTCAACAAGCACCAAGATTTTGCTGTATTTACTTCAACTCTCTTCACCCTCTTTTTTTTCCTTGGCTGTTGTATAATTTATTTAAAATTAACCAGCTAATATTTTATTATAGACTATGTAATGGACATTACATGACTGTAACTTACATATTTTGGCATATCATTAAAGCTTTTTTTTTTTACAGTGTAAAATTTTTATATTTAGAATTAGACAGCTGGACTCAGTTTAGATGATCCCAATTTTGTTGGCAACATCCAAAGCATCCTAGTCAGGAGCCAGTCGAACATATGCCTGCTTCTCGCCATCAGGCCTGATCAGGGTGTTGACCTTGGCCACATCGATGTCATAGAGCTTCTTCACAGCCTGTTTGATCTGGAGCTTGTTGGCCTTGACGTCCACAGTGACCACCAGTGTACTATTGTCTTCTATCTTTTTCATGGCTGACCCGGTAGTCAAGGGGAATTTGATGATGGCATAGTGGTCAAGCTTGTTTCTCCTGGGTGCGCCTTTCTGAGGATATGTAGGCTGCCTCCGGAGCCTTAGTGTCTTTAGCTGTCGGAAGGTGGGTGATGTGCAGATCTTTTTTTGTGTGTGGCTGTGGACACCTTTCAACACTGCTTTCTTTGCCTTCAAAGCCTTTGCTTTAGCTTCGGCTTTGGGAGGGGCAGGGGCTTCCTTCTTAGCTTTTGGCGTCATCTTCGTAAAAAGCTAAAGCTAATTCTTATTAATACAAAGGTAAAAAAATTGAACTGAGATAAAATACATTCTTAAATCTTTTTTAAGATCAAGTTTTAAGAAATTATTTTTTAAAAAACACTTTATTCTTTTTCTTCCAAAAAGAATGTCAGTGTGGGCCTTTGAGAAACCCACTAGTTGTGATTCCTAGTTAATTGTATTTATTATATCTCGTTCATTCACACTCCAGAATTCTACCTAAGAATGTATAAAATGCAACTGGATTTACAGAAATAATTTCCTAAATTACACTGGAAGTAGTTTAAATTAAAACACGCATAAACAGTATAAACAAGTTAATTTTTAAAAATTACTATAATTACAAGTAGTACAAACTGAGACATTTTTTCTGTTCCTGTGACAGAAGCTGACAACCTTCACTTTCAGTAGGGTTTTTGATATTTTGATATGATGCACATTCAGTGATATGTTGCCTTTAAAAAAAATATTTTCTAAATAATTCCAGGAAGCCTATTAGTGATATATATATACATGGGTCATTTACCTCAAATCTTATTTCCAGAACTACTATGTACAGGTCCAACACAACTAAACTAGAACAGGGTAAGAAGGCACTGAATCAAGTAATCTTTTTTCCCAACAGTAATTTTTCTTTTTTAAATCCTCACTCAAGGATATTTTCCATTGATTTTTAGAGAGAATGAAAGGAGGGGAAGAGACAGAGATATCTATGTGAGAGAGACACATTGATTGGTTGCCTCCCTCACACACCGTGCCTGGGGCTGGGGATCGAGCCTGCAACCAAGGTAAGTGCCCTTGACCAGAAATGAGCCTGGGACCCTTCAGTCCATGAGCCAATGCTCTAACCACTGAGCAACCAGCTAGGGCCCAACAGTAAATTTGGTAATTCTCTAAATGGTTTAGAACTAAAATCATGATTTTTGGCTTTAAAAAGTAAATCTGCTGTAATTTTTAATGGGCTGCACAATTCCACTATGGCCAATATTACCTTTTTTTTTTTTACAGGTTTGCTACTGTTTAAGAAACAGAATTCTACAGTATTCAATTCTGTATGCTTTTTTAATCAGAGTCACTACTACTGCTTGAGGAGTCTGTTGACATAACCTCTACATCATCTTCATTTTCTTTATTATGCCCTGGAGGTTCCAACAAAAAGTCATTACTGTGATTTGGTGGTAACATATTCATTGCCATATCATTTGATTGCCAGGGATACTGTGGAGCAAGGACATCTAGAGAAAAGAAAGAAGCACATGTAAGAATCTACTAGTGATTATTTACTTCTAGATAATTCTTCCCTCCATGCAATTATTTTGAAATAAGTATTTTTTTTAGGCTACAAATCAAAACACACATTTGGCCAAATTAACAAAGATCCAATTTATCAAGGAAGAGAGTAATGTTTTAGTACCTAGAACCTCTGCTTTATTTTTAAAAAGTCATACTTTATCATAAGTAACTATTTATATAGTCAGTAGATAATTTTTCTTTTGCAAAACATAATTACAAATCACATATTTGCTATACCTATGGATGTATGTACATATACAAGGTGAGGCAAAGGTAGGTGTACAGTGTGAGTACGCAACACATTATTTTTTATTATTTACTAGAGGCCCAATGCATGAAAATTCGTGCAAGAATAGGCCTTCCTTCCCCCGGCTGCTGGCACAGACTTTCCTCTGGTACCTGGGACCTGGGCTGGCTTCCTCCAGCTGCAGGCAGGCACCTGAGACCCAGGCTGGCTCTGTCCCCCACCCCAGCTTTGTCAGGAAGGACATAAGGAAGACGTCTGGTCTAATTAGCATATTACCCTTCTATTATTATATATTCTTATCTTACTTTCCATACAAACAACTGTACATCTACTTTTACCCCACCCTGTATGTTAGATGACATATTGCTCTATATATTCTTTGTATACGTTATAAATAGTTAATGTATACTACACTATGCATTACAAGTTTAAACTGCCTTTTAAGCGTCAAATCCACTCTTCTCCCTTGATCCTAAAAATATTACTCCCTTGCCAGAAGCCGCACTGTTAAGCTTTGCCAGTAGAGGGCACTGGAGGGACTCTATCCAAAGCATCTCTTGGATCTGATGCTTCCCTTCTTACTCTTGTGCCTGGCTGGTGTATAGGAAAAGTGGTGCTCACCTCCGAGCCAGTTTCAGTGGCGTCCCAGAGGATGGTTTCCCTGGGAAGTTTCATCATTACCCCAAAGGGTAGCTTTCTAGCAAGTCTTCCTGGAATTCTAGTGGGTAATTTCCTGTTTGCCAGCTCTGGTCTGTGACACCTAACTTCTCTGCCATCCAGTGGGCCATGGCTATTCCCCCTTTATTGAGGGCACCATGATATGAATGTAGGCCTTAGAATGGGGGTGGGGAGGAACTTTGGGCACACTGACTTGCTATTAGATGTAGTAGCTGCTCCCCATAGCTGTTATTCCTTTAATAGTATCTTGTTACTATACTAGTTATTAATTCTTTAAAATTTCTTTCTCCACACTGCTGGTGTGGTTCTGCCTCCTAAATAGACCTTGACGGGCATATGATATGGTACAACTGAGATAGGCCACTAAGCCAGAACAAGTGGAACACAGAAACTGGGACAGATAGCTGGACAAACTGACAGAGCAATCTACAGATACAGAAGGTCACCTCCCTAGAGATAACATCTAGGCCTCAGTTGTATTTCAGTTCCAAACCCAGAAAAGCAGCAAAACCAGATGGGTGACATCAGGTCCAGCTGCCATGACTAACGACCCCCGCCCCTGACACTGACTAATCAGTGAAGACCATGACCCTGAGAAGCACACCTAGAAAATTGATGAACATTCTGTTGAAACCCTCCCCTGTGACCTCCCCTGAGGTTCCTGCCTGCAAGAGAGATAAAAGCCTCAAGACAAAGGACCCAGCACTGGCTCTCCTTCCTAGGGGCACACCAGAACCTCCCCACCCCTTCTTCTTCCACAGGCATGCATCTCCTAAACTCTAAGGGATCCCAGGAGGCTTTCAACCAGGGCAGCAATGGGCAGCAGCAGTTCGTCCCACGCAACCCCCTGAACCTGTCCCCAAGACCCCCATTTCTCTGATTTCTTAGCCAAAGGAGACCAGCCTAGGCTCATTTCCCCAATCCTTTCTTGTTTCACTCCCAAGCTTTATTAAATGTCCTCTAAAATTCAACTGGACTCCTGTTGTGAAATTTTCCCTGCACAAAGTAAAAAACCCACATACTATCAGCTGGCCCTAGGCAGATCCTCCAACAGCCAGGTCCCCTTTCCATAACAAAATCACGAAGAGAAAAATGAGGCGATATCCAAGGAAACTAATGCACAGTGAGTTCCCAGTTTGTACTTTAGATAATTAATGAAAATAATGCTTACAAAGCATTTTTAGTAACACAGGGACATCCTTACAATGAGAAGAAAAAAAATTACATTTTTAACAATGTAAATAAATAAAACAGAGGAAAATAATAAAATACTAAGTGACTGATGAAAAGGGTAGTATTTTCCTTTTTTAACTTTAAAATGTTCTTCCAAATCAAAACAAGTCACTTCTATAAAAGATAACATATGGAAAACATAAAGTAACATACAAGAATAGCACAAACCATACTACATGCAAAACTTGAGCCAAGTCTCACAAAAATGGTATTTTATAAAGTTATTAAAAGCCTATAAAAAGCTTTGTTATTCATTTTAACGGGGTGTTCTAGGAGTGTATCCACTTTATCATCTTTAAACTCAAAATATGTATTTCTTACTGTTTATACAGTACGTCTCACAATTTTATTATTATTTTTTAATGCTCACCCAAGGATATTTTTTCCATTGAGCTTTAGAGAAAGTGGAACAGAGAGGGAAAGACAGAGAGAAATATTGATATGAGAGAAACACATCGATTATTCGTCTCCTGCATGTGTCCCAACCAGGGCCTGAGCTGGAGAAGAGCCTGCAACCGAGGTATGTGCCCTTGACTGGAATCGAACCTGGGACCCTTCAGTCCACAGGGCTCTATCCACTGAGCCAAATCAGCTAGGGCTATCGCACAATTTTAAAAACCAATGTTTAGAACAATAAAAATAATAAGAGAGAGCCCAATGCCTGAGAAAAATGGCATATTAACAAATGAGAGAAAGGTCAGTTTATTCTAATTTCATAACCTCCATCTAGAACTAAGAGTAAAATAAATTGGCAGAAAACAGCTATTAAAATGAATCGGACCTGGTACCGAAACTTGTTCAACAGCCAAAACTTTGGTCTGTCTGAAAGCATTCTTTTAATTAATATTACCTGGCAATCTGCCGGCCGCAAGTGCATCTCCAGGTAAATGACCATTCACACCATTAGTGGAAGGATTGTTCATTTGACCCAATAATCCACTTCTCATCTCTAAATCCGTTGGGTATGGTCTCCGTGGGTCCCCTAAAAACACACACAAACATAACAAAAACACAAACCCAAAACAGATGACTTTTAATTCAATTGGTTCATTTTGAAAAACTCAAGCCAAACTTTAAATTTTGAAATATGAAGGACATCTTATCAATTGTTACTAAGAGGATAATATATTTAATACATGTATTTTTACTTCTTCTCTAAATCTTCACCATCTACACTAATAAAAGAGAAAAATGGTAATTGGCGTACGACGCTACCCTTTTCATTGGCTAATCAGGGCTATATGCAAATTAACTGCCAACTAAGATTGGCAGTTAACTGCCAACAAGATGGCGGTTAATTTGCATATGTAGGCACAATGCAGGGAGGCGAAAGGGAAAGCAGGAA